CGCACTTATATCATTCCCAGTTACATGTACTGGGAACTGTATTAGGAATATACCACGTTTTCATGCAATTACTTCTAGGGAAAAAGTTCCATTTATTTTTACATAGTCCTAAATCACAGCAGTCTCCTTGGATGAGTTTACAAAGTTGGTGATTTGCCAACACAGATCCAAACCCAGGAAACGCGATAATGACAAACACATAGGAGCCATTGGTCCATAGGGAGAGGGATAAACAATGTCCATAAATGTTACAACAACATATTACACAAAGATAATGATAATGGAAAGCGTCACTTTTAATGAAATGTATCAAACCATTCTCAAAAAAGAAAGTTCCATTACCCCACTATATGGATTGCAGTACTCTTATTGGAACATGTAACAGAATACATTACACAATACGCTTCTCCCCAGCACTGGTCATTAGGTCCCATCGCACCATAACCCAAAGCCGGTACAGTAGTCATACACAAAAGAATAAAAAAATACAAGCAGATGCCAGCAAGGAGCATCTTGGGTCCTATCTGACGAGGATCTGTGAGCACAAAGGGACATTCAGTGCTCTGCCAAGTGTCTGTAGAGTGCAGAACAGAGTCGGGACTGTAGCGACAGATGACGATCTTATCGGGGGGGGGTAGGAGGTGTGGAGTCCCGCTCTGGGAGGGGGTGGCAGGGGCTCTTCAGATACATCCTGGGGCTCCTTTTGCCAAGTGTGTGGTATTTGAGAGAAGCAGTGATGAGGAGGGAACACAGGTGCTGGGTTGCTTCAGACAGTTCAAAATGTCCCCTTGTTGAATCTGATAACCTCTTCATTCCATACATTTTCATTTGCATTCTCAATTACATGTCACGATTATATTTCTCAATTATGTTTCTCATTAAATGCTTAGATATTTCAAACATCAAAGACCTACTGGCTTTTTGTTTATATTTGTTTCTTTCTATTTCAACTAAGCTAAGTTACAAGTTATCTCTGTAAAACCCAATAGTTTTAAGCACTAAACTCTCCAAAAATGTTTAGTGCTTAAAATTGAGAAGAAAAAAAAAGGAGACACATATTATGGTTCTTGGAAAGGCAAGGAAAGTATATTTGAATACAGATACAATCCTTCAGTTGTATGCACAGTTACAGAAAACAGTTGGATTTGAACATTGTCAAAATCAAAGCTTTACATTTTCAGGAAGACTGTTCCAGCTGCATAAATCTGGAATGCTGCGTCCTCATGTCTGGTCCTGACTCTTTGCACCAGCAGGAGGTCAATCTCTGTCCTGAGGGTTACTACTACGGTGTCATGTGGTCTAAGCATTCTTTTAGAAATAGAATTGAAGTTACTCAAATCCCATTGTCCTCACATTATTATTGTTTTTTTTTTTTTTTTACAGTGAATAAACCTATTTAGATTATTTTTCAGTTATGTGTCTTACACTTGGGCACATCTGTCTGAATATTTCCACTGTTTGTAAATGTTCTCATGCTTACTACAGCAGACAGCGTAGAAGGGAGCCTCATTATTCCTGCATGGGACTCATTTTGTGTAGATATTTTCCACTAGTGTTTGCAACAGATGTGACAAGCCATCTGCAAGCCAAGGTCCTGAGGCAACATTTGGTGTGAGCTGCGCACAACTGGCACCCAAAACATCGCGGCCGCGCACGACGCACAGATTCAATAGAACCCCCTTTTTCTCTCCGCTTCTTGCACCTACTACTCGCCTCATTATTATTATTTTTTTCTACCCCCCAAAAAATGTGTGAATGGTTTGGCGAGTGGGCTGGTTGGAAGCGAGAGTCAAGCGGGGCTAAAAGGGAACTTGCATCCAGCGGGTAAAGGCCGCGGGTCTTATCTGAGGACAAACAGAATGCATCAAGCGGTGGCTGTGGCTTGCAGTGATGATGACCAGCTGTGCTCCCATGTTTAATTATTTCTCTGTAATGAGCTTACCCACCTTCCACTGCAGCTCCAGGAAGACAGCACAGGGAGTGCAGAGGGAGAGGCAAAGAGGAGACAGAGATAAGGCTGATTGTCTTAACTTTTGGCACGAGTCCAAAACGATGAATGTTCACACTAATAAATGATTCTCAAATGGTGGTCAAGAGTAGACTAGCATGAGCAGCCTTTGGAACTCAGAAGTCACAAGCTTCAAGTTGTGCAGCCTTCTCAATGCGTGTTTTTGTTTCTGTCCATTATAATATAATTATAATTATAACTTTATAACCATTCACATCATCTTGAAATGGACAGGATTGTACTTGTTTGGAGACCCTAAAGCAGACCCCCTCCTCTCCATTAACAACACATCTAACATTATCTAAATGTTGTCAACAAAACAGATGATATTGCCCTGTATTTGTCTAATAAGAAAACATTTTGTCTCTTGCAATCTTGTGAGAATGAGCCTTGTAAGTGTATTTGACGTGTTGGGCTGATTATGTCTGAAAGATCTGGTGCGACAGAGGGCAAAAATGCATTAATGTAACTCTAATGATGGAACCAAACCCAGCCTTAATACACTTCTTATTGTGCTCCAAATATGTATTAGTGTTTTCTTGGCTGACTTCTGAATTTCAATGGCCTTGAGTCTGTATCCTTGGTCTCGATCTGCTTTGCTTTGGGCCCTAATTATTAAATCAAAAGCGGTGACGTATTTTAAACCACTATAATATTTATCGGTGACATTTTCACTTTGATCGTTAACAAATGTACCAGTGGCAAGGTGTTATTCGCAGCGAGCAATGGCACAAGACCCATTATGTTTATGCATGCATGGGAGCACATAAGCACACATTTCCATAGCGGCGCGAGAGACGGACACAAAGGCGTGCCGCAGATACACAGTTGATATTTGGAGCGGAGAGCAGGGCATGGGAGGTCATTATAGCACAGCGCATCAGAAAGTTCAATAATCAGCACAGTCCATTCAGCCTCAACCTGGTGCCCTCGTGCCTAATAGCAACACATGCGTACACACCGGTTCAAAGAAACAATGTTAACAACCTGTCTGGAGCCTGTGCAGTATCAATATACAATAGGCCGAATCATTTACATTCAAAATACATGATTATCATTTTTAGCCAGTAAAAATGATACTCAGATCTTTTACTAATCAGTCATTTCATGGTTTAGAATGCTCAATTTAATTTAATTTATCTTTTGTATAGCCCTAAATAACAACTGTAGTTATCTCAAAGGACTTTGTCGATAAGCCAACACAGATCAGAGAATAGATAGATAGATAGATACTTTATTGATCCCCGCAGGAGAACTTCAGAAATTCAGAATCAACAGTTAAAACACAAACAATGCAATGCTAAAAAGCACAGAGCCATGAGTCCATGAGTGGCGGAGGACCAATGTCCATAAATATTTATTTAACAAGAATATGAAAAAATAGTATAAATTGTGTAAATATTTGACAAAAAAATCTACCTGCCTGCAACTCTCTATGCTACCACCAGAGGGAGAAGTTTATTTTGTGTTTTCTAAAATCCTATAATGAGATTGTAACAAACGTCATTTCATTGGATATGCCAAAAACAAATGTAGGGCCAATACTTTAGGTTTTAAAAGAGTTTGATGTCATAAGGCAACAATGACATCCTACTGTTACAGGTTTGAGACGGAAGCTTTGAGACGGAAGCTTTGAGACGGAAGCTTTGCGACAGACGGGGTGGAGCTACATATTTGTGCCTGACGTTCCCCATAGTAGCGGGAACGGATCAAAACACAACTCTGGGTCTGTTTTTATGAGGGAACAATGTTGTCAAAGAATTTTCCTTTAACACAAACGAGACTAACCACAACTTTGTAATGTGAGCAGAGTGTTATAAACTATTCCTTCATATTTTAAATTGTAAATGTGAACAGAGGCAGGTTCATCACGCCTGACAATGACCTCTGACCTTGGTCCAGTCCTGTGAAGAAACTGTTCCATAAAGATGCAGTTTTCAGACATGACTCAGAGCTGATAAAAGTCTTTTGGCAGGAGAACAATCTGTGTCCAGGCCTGATTAAACCTGATAGCACTTGTTACAAATGCCTGATTCATCAACTTCCACAGAGAATGTTCTCCCTGTCACCAAGGAAACCACTTGTAAATCCAAATGCAAGTGCTATTTTGGATTCAGTGTAGTTGTTATGTTCTAGTGTTGTCACAATACTACAATTACTAACTTGCCTTTTATACCAATAACACAACTCCATACTGAATGGCAGTTTTTATACAACCGTGACGAATTTGTCCAAAAACAATTTTGGACAATAAGCTCTATTGTTTATATACATATTATTACAACATGATAGTGCTTTTTATGGCACCAGGAGGATTTAGCACTTGCTCTGAAATAGATCAAAATCTTTCAAGAACTGCTCAAAGAATCTCCCATTTTGTCCTGCTCATGTGAGTCGTCATCAATTTTTGTATTACATAAAAAATCTCCTTTTTTTTTTTTTTTTTTTTTTAGAAAGCATCCTATAGATTTTTTTTTTTTTTTTCCAAATGGAGTTAAAATATGATGCACATTCTTATCAGTAACTCTGCTATGGTCTGTCATGAGCGCTATCATAACTGCCATTAATCACATCTACAAAAGTCCAGTGAATCTAAGCGATAAGCCTGGTGGGGTAGTGCTAACACTGCTATCCACTTTCGCTGTTAATTAACTGTAGCTGTAACAAGGGCTCGGCTTCCTGAAGCAACCGAAATAGGCCCCTGCTCCTGCCAGCCAGCGAGCCTGCCGAGTCTCACCGAGATTATCTGCACACAAGACACCTTTCAAGTAAGGTTAGCGCAGCGCGTGTGTGAGGAACACCATCAGATGGGTGCTCACTTGATTTGCTTATCCATTTTGAAAGTGCGTGGCTGTAACCTCTGGTGTTTATCGCAGGGCTCAGATGCACTGCTATATATCTGCTCATGTACCGACTGTGTGCTGCCGTGTGGACCTTGTTGTATTGAGGAAAATGGCTGATTTCTGCTTTTTTCTGTGTTTTTTTTTTTTAGGAGAGTTGGATGCATTTTTGAAAGATGGAGAAAGGAGGATCCACAGCAGGCAGCAGCTCCCCGTGGGCACAACGTGGGGGCCATTTGAGGGCAAGATTGAGATGAACACAGACACCAATGCACTGGTATGTGTATACATGGCTTTTTTTCTTAAACCATCATAAATGTTTGCATGTTCTTCACTTTGCTCTTGTGAAAGTGTTCTGTCTATATCAATGGTAATGTATGTGTCTAAGAATACTCACTAATATTGTGTGTGTATCAAAATCAAGCCAAACATGTATTTTATATAATTTTGTTCGGCATGGTTTATTCCATATATAAAGAGGCTACTCATCTCACACATCACAATCATCCTACATTAGACCTGCCTAATGATACAACGTAATTTAATTCCAATCATGGCGCTAATGTGACATAATGTTAGTCATTCAAATCTATATGTGTTCTAGAAGGGATATATTACAGGAATTATCGCAACTTGTACCATCATAAGCCAGAACATATGTATGACCTGATAGATCCATACTGTAGATGTAATTTTACAGGCCAGGTTCAATACAAATTAATGAAGACTTTTTTTTTGTTGCAAGGTAAGTGAAAATGTTTGTTCCCTATAAGATTCTGTCTCATTGAAAAAAAAAGTGAAGAAACATGTGTTATATTCTTCTGGTTTAATGTACTTACCAGCGTTAACCCTGTATGTGCCAAAGTAGTAGAATCTTAACTCAGAACCAGGACACTTTATAAGCGCCCTGGCTTTCTACAAACGTTTTTACAGTTTTCTTAATTAGCTATACTTCATGTATGCATTTGTTTTTAGTAGTGTTCCATCTCATATAACGTGCTAAGTGTCTGTTTCAACTGCTCTGGTGCCTAAAGGGTTAACGGAATACTCCTATATAAATATAAAACATATTTTAAGACAGCCTCTCTGTCCATTGAAAGAATCTATTACCATTGACTCCCATGTCTCTCAACACCAACTCACAAAAGCTTTTGAAGTGCATCTATTTTAACAAATTAAGCCTTATATTGTATGACAAAACCTTTTAATTGGTGGATTTGACGCTGGGTCCATGCGCTGAATGAGGTCCAGTCTTTTTCATGTCCCATACCCTCAAGCTCTCTATCTTCTATTTGAAACATCCCTAGGCTGCTGTTGACCCCCTGCTCTGTCGGAGTGACGAGCTCTCTGTGGATTTGATACTTTTGGATTAATTAAGAAATTCCTATTAATATTGTCACCAGTCAAACACTCATCCTGTTAAAACATATGAAATAGTCTATGTGGATTTTCAGTATTAAAGCTTCTCACTCGCTTCAGCCAGATCTCTCAACTTTTTATTCAATCACTCCCAACTGTTTTCTAAGCTCCTCTCATGGTTTTGAAGTCATCGGTGGCTTTAAATAACTGAACCCATATTATAGGCGTGAAATATGGCTTCTCTCAGTCCTGAGTCGGTTATCCTTTGGCGGAAAAGTGATTTGACAGAGCAACACCTCGACTTTCCTTCCAAAGCAACGCAGTCCATATATTTCTATCTTGGTTTCTCAAATAACCTCTAAGCCTCATGATCTTTGACAACTTTCCACCAGACAGTGCCATCCAAGGCAAGATATCTGATAAAATGTGTTTTCCAATGGCGTTTTAAGGGTTTTCTTGCACATATCTTCATATCAACAAATCCTTTTGATATCGATAATGTTTTGATTTGACACACACTAACTTGGTAAGTATGTAGCGCCAGAGTCACAAAGCACTTTATAATTGTCTTGGGCTTTTATTATTTCACTCCACACAGTGATTGGAACGGGGTCTCCAAATATATGGTGATCTACTGTGGGAAACCTATGCAGACATGGGGAGAACATGCAAACTCCACACACAATGGTTCTGCCTTGAGGTGGAATTGAACCATAAAGTGCTATAACCACTGTGTCACTGTGCTTCCCCAATAATACTAACATACTTAACTCATTTCAGACACTCCACACATATTCATAGTTCACTATTGTTTTAACTGTGATGTTGAGATACTGTAGTTATCCCGTCCATAGTACCCCTTGAACGGCAGAATTAAGATTTGTGACCGCAACCTCTGGTCTGAAGTGGCCTAGTGTTGCAGATGATCAAAACCAGCTTCACGACCACTGCTGATTTCTCACTCAAAACATGCGCATATCTCAGAAACTATGACCCTACATCTATCACATCTCTCCCCAAAACCGCCTATATGGTTGGACTAAGTGCTCTCTGTTGAATCCAAGTTTCTCTAAAATGTGAGCAGGTGTTGGTCATCACCTGGAATGGGGCTGTGGAGGGGTCGGCGAGACCGTCAAACCTCCCAGCAATTAAACACAGGAAAAGAGAGCTGCCATCATGCCTCAAAGCGTCTCATACGTGTCTGCTCTCATGGGAGTCCTTTTCACACACTTAGCTGCTTTCTCTACTTGCCCAGGTCCCAACTCTCCAAAAGGGCATTAACAAGTTTTCTCTTACTATCATTAAAGACTTGGCTATTGCTATGTTTTATTCTATTTCTTTGTATGTGTGTTTTACTTTCTCCAAATATTTTGTGTGAACTAAAATAGCATGGATTTTTCTTCAACACAGGGGAATGTGGAAGTCTGAAGGTGCATTGCTGTATATTGTATTGGTTTTCCAGCTCAAGTCTCATTGGGTTGTTAAACATGCAGCCGTTGGCAACATCCCTAATATGGCATTGCGTTTATCTCAGTTATTTCAGTGGGAGTTGTGGGAGTTGTGGAAATCTTGAAGCAGTGATACAGAAGGCAAAAAGGTCTGTGCTTGCCTTACCTGGAGACAGAGAGGAGGAGTGAAAACACAGTAATGTTGATGCATGCGAGTGAAGAACAATGGAGGCTGCACCTAACTCTGTCATTCAGTTATAAGCTACATTGTGTAAAAATGAAATATATTGTAAGAATAAGAGAATCCCACTTTGTGAAAATGTGTATTCACTTCTTTACTTCCTGGACATTCAATATTCCAATGGGAAACTTTGGGAAACATTCTAGTAATCAGGAATTTATGGTTGTGTTTACATTTGTGGGTCTGGTTCACTTTAACTGGTCCAATTCTCGTTCTCTTGTGGCAAAAGTGCATTTTTTGTGGAGGTAAAACCATTAAACAAGTGACTATCTGCCACAATAACACAACAGTTGGGAAGCGCTTTGTGACTGTGAAAAGCGCTCTATAAATAAAGATTATTTTCTTACCTGCATATTCTAAACAGATCTATGAAGCTTTTTACCCCAAGTGAACCAGACTCGGCCCCCACAGTTTGAACACGCCCTTAATCTCTCAACCATCGTAAAATCACATCATAGCGACTTGGTCTGAATTGCCTTTCTGAACATTTTCTTCAGAATATTGATAAGATTATGTAACGCATCTCTTCCCTCTTCCCTCTGTGAGCCGCTGGTGAGTTACAGACATCAATACTAGTTTTTCTCATTAATTTAGAAGCGTTAATCTGGTCCAATTTAACTAAGGTCAAGATATTTCTGCACCCCTTGGTGAGCTCATAGCCTTTTCCGTTTTCCTGGTTTTGGCATGAAGCCCAGACAGGACTAGTGCAAAGTGGCTTATACAGTAAATGATGAGGAGAATGACTAGTGAACATGAGCTGCACTTTGACCTTGTGACTTTGAGACATACAAGTCGGAAATAGTTTTAATAAATAAATTCAATTATATCTTTTATTGAAATTATTGGTTAGATTTATAGGTTTCGGGTAACATCAATATAGCCTTTTTAATCTTTTAAACTAGATATTCTCCTGAATTTCTAACAAATATGAATCCCAGAACAATTGTACAGAAAAGAATGGTTAATCATCACACTCCTGCTGTTCCTACAGAGGAAAATCCTGAAATTCACTGATTTGGTCACATTTAAAACAGCAGGTTTTTTTCACAGCAAGAAACTAGTTACTTCCTGGTCACATTCAAGCATTGTTCTCTCAAAGAGAAGGGAAATACAATTTGAGAGGAAAATCTAACTTTAAAACAAAAAACTATGTTCTTGTAAATAGGTCAGGTCAAGTTATGGAAAGGTCTGACTGAAGATTTAAAACAAAGCAGCAACATTATGCAGTTTACAGTTTATATAAAAAACCTAATCATTGTAAAAAAAATTTAAAAAAAGATAGTTATAGTAAAAAATGTTTCAGACACATATCTGAAAGTTGAAATAATAATGTAATGTATTGCTCTAATTGACATGGGGCCAATATGTCTGCGGCCCATAGGCCCCCTTTAGTGCAGTGCTTGTAGGACGTTTCAGCTGTTGAACGACAGGCCTCAGTAGCGGACTGAAGTGACTGATGATGCAGAGAAAGGACAGTGATTGCATGCAGCTGTTCATAGCGGCCACAGGACACAGAGAGCCATCACGCTTGGAAAAGAGACGATAGCGGTGTGAGGAAAAACAAGAGAAAAAGCATGACAGGAAATCTGGGCATCTGCAGGACAGAGATAGGGTCACATCTCCAACGTTTATCAAAGAGGGAAGGAGATTTCACAGCTGATGGGGCGGCATGCAAAGGTTTGTGGACCCCAGGGGCTTGGCTTGGCATCCGCTCCAGAGTTATTACTTTTGCAGACCTGTGTTAACACTCTCATTTGGCACTATCATATGCAGGCGCTCACTGGGATATTTCCTTTTTATCACAATATCAGTAGCTGGTAGATAAATAGAGTAAAACAACATGCAGACAGATATTCTGACAAACAGAGACCCATTGCCTGTAGATGTTTTAACTATAGCTTTACTGCTACTGTGCATCATATTGAACAGTTTATAAACCGCAACCCAATGAAAATGTGAAATTAAAGATTGACTCGTAAAAAACAAATCCTATATTTTGGTTTCCCCCTGGTGCACTCTTAAAATCCAGAAGTCCCAGTAGTCGCTGTATTTGTGGTGGTTCTCTCCTTGCTCTGTGTGTGTGTGAGTGATTGAGCTGCCAGTGCACACTCTCATCCTTCACTCGTCTCTGATCAATCAGACCATTAGAGTCCCATTACAGCGCCCTGGTGCAGGTGAAACGCACGCCTCCGCCTGCTCCTCACATTCCCCAAATTAACGCAAATTAAT